AATAAAACAATGATAAGAAAGCTAAAAATAAATAAATTTTAAAACCCCACAACACCCATAGCAGGTTGTTTGTTTGTTTGTTTATTTTTTAAATTTAACAAAGTTTCTAAAAATTGTTTTTCACAGGGGATCTTTCCCATTTCCTTCACCTGCCCCCCCTCCAGTTTTATTTATTTTGTTGTTGAATCTTTGAAATTGCTCAGCCAATTTGACACCTTTTTACCCTTTAGTGCTTTAAAGGGCATGATGCTCCTTTGGATAATCAACCACATAAGATCAAAAGGGTACCATTTGCTCAGGGAACTCTGGTGGCCTAGTGGTAAGAGGCTGGGCTGCAATTCCAAAGGTAAGAGGTTCAAGGCCACCACATGCTCCCTGGGAGGATGGACAGTCTCCTTCCATGTGATTAACTGCCTCTGAAAACCCCCTGCAGGTTCAGCTATGAGTCAGTTCTAAATCTAGGGTACACAACAAGAACAGCAAAGCTCAGAAAGCAAGAAGGGGAGGTGGTTACAGTTATGTTGTATATATGTAGTTATGTTGTATGTATGTAATTACTTTGTATGCATGTACAGTTACCTTGTATGCACTATGTATTATAATTAATGTTGTAAAACAATGTGAATGATTAATTGAATGGGAAACAGATTAGCTTTGTAGACTTTGATTCATACCACAGTTAAAAAACAAAGGGCCTGATATTAAGGCAGAGCTTCTTAACTTGTTAAACAAAGTTGTTGTTTGGTTTTAAGAAGACCTAAGGGGGTATTTTTTGATTAAGGGTTAAAGATTATCTCAGGGCAGTATCCAAGATACTACTTACTGAATAAAAAAAGTGATACAAGAACCTTTCAAAGTGAAGAGAAGCTTAACTACCTCAGAAAATCTGTTGGATGGCCACGTATGTGTCAGTTCTGACTCAGTGGTAGTCATCAACAATATATAAATGCATGTCTATGTCTTAACACCAGCAGTCAGGAAATCAGAAGACAAATTGCATTGGGAAAATCTGCTGTCATAGAAGTCTCCAGAGTGCTAAAGAGCAATGATGTCAGTTTAAATATAAAGGTGCACCTAATACAGGCCATGGTCTTCTCAATTACTTGTTATGCTTCAGAGAATTGGATAATGACTAAGGATGACAGAAGAAGAATAGATACCTTTGAGTTGTGGTGCTGGGGAAGAGTCTTGAACATACCATGGACTGCCAAGAAAACAAATAGGTCTGTCTTGGAGAGGGTGAAGCCTAGTCTCTCCTTGGAGGCTAGGATTTTGAAGCTCCGCCTCACTTACTTTGGGCAAGTGGCCAGGAGAGATCAGTTCTTGGAGACGGACATCCTGGGTGGTCGGACAGCACAGAAGAAGAAGACCCTGGATGAGATGGATTGATACAGTAACTGGGGCCATGGGGGTTGATCTCTCAGAGTTATTGAGACTGGCTCAGGAAGGGGAGGGTTCAGAGCTGCCGTACGTAGGGTCGCTATCTCAGTGGCACATAACAGCAATAACATACTATGACAGGTTTGGAAGCAGGAGTGGCATCCATTTCCTAAACAACGTGCCTCTGGAAACTCTGTGAACTTTAATAAATGTTGATAGTTGTAGTGGGGCTTCAGGCCTTTTGTTCTTAGGGTTGCTATGAGTCGTGTTCGACTTGAAGGCAATCAGCAACAAGTCTGTTATAGATGTTACTAAGTCAGTTTTTGGCATTTAGCAAGCAATGTGTGATGCATTAGAACTGCCTTAGGGGTTTTCTGGCTGTCATCTTTATGTACGCGAGCATCTTGCCAGATTGTTCTTCAGCAGAACCCAGTATTTAACACAGTAGGTTAGCAGCAAGTGCTTGAATGTTGCACTGAGTTCCTCTATCAGAGTCTAAAAGTCCTTTCTTTCATGAGTGTGAGGTTGACTCAGGACAGGGCAAGGTTCAGGGCTATTGTTCATGGGTGGCTATGGTCTCATAACAACTCAGCTAGCCTTATTGGGAGCCGTTGTGTTGGTTGTAAGTCATGCCAACTCTTTTTTTTTTAACTTTTTAAAAAAATTTTTATTGTATTATTTTTATGTGTACCGTCAAATCAGATCTGACTGGTACAGGAGGAGATTGCTCCCTCCTTCTCCAGCAGAGCATCTGGTGGATTTGAACCGTGCCAACTCTTTGTACATCAAAGCAAAACACTCTAGAAGCCAGTGCCTCTCTCACCATGATGTCAATAATTGATAAAGTGTCTATGTTGTTTTAAGGCTTTGTTTTTTTTTTCTTGGCTTCTGTTTTCATTTTATTGATTGGCACTAAAAGTTGTAGGCTTTAAAGTTCTGACATCAATGATGAGATGAAATCCAACAAGAATTTAGAGCAAAACACTTGTGGTTTAAAAAAAAATGTCTGAACAGAGCTGTTGTTTTCCTGTCACAGTTTCGGTGCAGGTAAAGCATTCGATTAGATTATTTTTTCTATTCTGACAAGTTGAGGTCTAGAGAGCTGGAAGACATTTCTGATAATGCTGTTTGAATTTTCCCTAAAACCTCGGGCATGACTTTCAGAAAAACCTCACCAGCAAAACATAGAAAAGAATACGCAGGATCATGGGAAGAGAAGCTTATGACTATTGTTAATGCCATTTCAAATTCTTTTCCACTTTGGCACTCTTTTTTTAAAAAAATTTTATTATTTTTGTGTGTGTACCGTCAAATTGGATCTGATCGGTACTGGAAGAGATTGTCCCTCCTTCTCCAGCAGGGCATCTGGTGGATTTGAACCGCACACCTCTGGGATTGAACTTTGGCACTCTTTTATGTTTGAGAAGCAAAGTTCAAGTATGAAGTTCAAGGCCCATGTACATTGTATGTCTTTTTCTGTTATTGATCCACCAATGACTATTTTCCTTTCAGGGAGGGAGCTGGTGCCTGCATACAGCAGGAGAACAGATCATTATCTAGGTACAATGCTATGTATTCTTCCCGAATTTATTAAGGACCAGGGCCATGGGCCTCTTTGAATTTCCTAGACCCGAGAAGAGGACAGGAACCAAGATGGGAAAGTGGACATGTTGCATTTTAAACTGGAGCTGCCCCTGCAGCCCACGGAGCACGTGCTGGGTGTGCAGCTCCTCCTGACCTTCTCCTACCAGTTGCACGTGAGTCCAGGGATTACAAGGCTCTTTGTCTTCCCTCCACCCACCCACCCCCACCTGGATAGATCAGAGCCCTCCTGCTGATCTCTGTGAATAAGACTTTCCTGAGGTGTGACTTGTGATTTAATTGAGACAAATTACATATTCTTCATCAGTACCATATTAATTACTCTGAACTCTTAGTAGTTCAGGGACCTTGGCAGTACAGCAGTTAAACACTCAACAGCTACTGAAAAGTTGGCTGTTTGCACCCACTAACTGCTCCCCGGAAAAACGATGTGTCTGCCTGCTTCCTGAAAGATCTCAGCCTCGGGCTCTCCTGTGCTGGATTACGTATCAGAACCACTATAATACCCCATTGCATTGACATGTACTGTATTCTCTCTATCCATTTACCAGTTGATGCAACAATGAACTTTATGTATGAAAATGTTTAAGTTCAGCATTAATATACCCACTGATTATAATTATTGGTAATGTCATGAACAGAATTCTTGTGTAGAAGCTTGAGTATTTATCAGCATTCATTTCACTGAAGTGTGATTATTTTCTAAGACCCCTTCTAGCTTTGCTTTTATCATGTATGTAGTATCAGTAAAACTTAAAAGCATCAGCTTAAAAATTTGAATGCAATTAGTGTTAGGCAGGTATGGAATTATTTGTCACATGTTGTAATGATAATGTTTTTAATTTCTTTCAATATGCAAGATTTGAAAAATGTCAAAACAAATGCACGTGATGGGGTAGTAGATTTTTAAAGAAACTTTTGTCATTTAGAACATATTTTTTTTCCCTGTTTGTTTTTGTTATTATTATTATTGTTGTTAATGAACATCTACAGAGATTTTGGAATTCCATTCATTCATTGTTGCACTTTTCTCCCTATTTTTTAAAAAATTACTACTACAATTATATCCTAGTTAAAAGTAAACTAGATCGCAGCCGTGGAAGCCCCATGGGGCAGTTCTACCCTGCCCTGCAGGGTCACGTTGAGTTAGAATCCAGTGAATGGGCAGTGGGCTTATTAGTCATGGAGGGGGTTCTGGGGAGCGTGCTTCCTGCTCGGCTCACCTGTGCGTGTGAGGGACCTTTCGATGCCAGACAGACAACTCTTAGAGCCAGAGCCCCCTCGTCTGAACACCTTGAGTGTTGTTGCCTTGTCTTGATTTCAGCGGATGTCCACATTCGTGATGCAGAGCATGGCCTTCCTCCAGTCCTCCTTCCCCATTCCCGGGTCCCAGCTGCACATGAATGGAGAGTTGAGGCTGCAGCAGAGGCAGCCACTCGGCTCAGGTGGCCTGGATGTGCGCTACAACGTAAGGACGCCCCTGTATATTATTTACTGTTTACTGGGTTCTTTGTGGAGGCAGAAGTGAAGCTTAGACATAACTTTTTACTCCCTGTGGATGGCTTGGAAGACTTCTGAGAAATGGTTGCCATTAGTTCTTTCAAATTATGATTGTTGTTGTTGTTATGTGCCATCGAGTCACTTGCGACTCATAGCGACCCTATGTACAAGAGCTCTAAATGCTGTTCTATCCTGCGCCAAGCTAGCCATCTCAAACGCACTTATTTCCACCGCTCCAGTCACAGAATCGATCCATCTCATCGAGGGTCTTCCTCTCCTTCGCCGCCCCTCCACTCTGCCAAACATGATGTCCCTCTCCAAGGACCAGTCCCTCCTTGCAACATGCCCAAAATATGTCAGACGAAGCTTCAGAATCCTTGACTCCAGGGAACACTCTGGCTTCACCCTCTCCAGGACAAACCTGTTTGTTCTCCTAGCAGTCCATGGTATATTCAACACTCATCTCTAGCACTTTACACATATTTTTCTACCTAGATGGAAATAGCAGAAAAAAGAAAAGAAAATCTATTTTATTTCTTTACCTGGTAACTAATTTATTTCTTGTTTTCAGTTACATATAAACACACACAGGGTATATATTCCAAGTGATTTTTTTTTCTTTTAGTTCACATAAAATATTTCAGCAGTGCTATGAGCCACAGTGTGTGCGCATGTAACATAGACCAGCTCTGCATCAAGAGGCTCCCATGGATCAGGCCCTTAAACCATCACAGCAGCCTCCTGAGTGGTCCTCTCCCAGGTTTTTCACTGCCTGCCCCCCCCTTTCTCCTGGCTTCCTCACAGCCACACTGGATTTTTTTTATTGCTGCTTTTGGACCCCACGAAGCAGCTCCTCTCTCAGAGCTTTGGTGTTGCACCGTTCCCTCTGTCCAATATCAACACAACTCATTCTACGGCTTCATGCAGGTCCCTGGTCAAATGGCACAGCACCTCCCTGACCCTTCTTTCTAAAACAGCATCCTCCCTCCATCTCTCATCCCTCATCCACATTTATTTCTCTTGTTTTCATCAGCTATACCAAGGATAGGATGGGGGTTTTTGTTGTTTTTTGGAGGTTTTTTTGTTGTGTATTATTGTGTCAGATCCAACTGGCATAGGAGGAAATTGCCCCTTCGTCTGGTAAATTCAAACCACATGCCTTTGGGATTGCAGCACAGCAAAGATAGGTTTTTATTTTGTATATTCACATTTCCCCCAAGTCCCAGAGCTGGAGAGTAAAGAACCAGAGCTGTCTGCCTAAGCCCAGAAGTCATCCATCTGATCACTTGTTCCTAACCCTTATCTCTCACAAGGGGGCCTGTATCCTTCCATATATCTTCTTGACAAGTTGTTAGAGGTATTAACCAGGATTGTTCAGATAAACTAGGACATGGGGTTACTCTAAGAAAAGGACTGTAACAATAGTGCATTGTTGATGAAAAAGTTTACCTATCAGATTACATCAATTAGAACATAATACTCAAAAGCTGGAAGGAAATTATTTTCTTTTTGGAAGAATTTGTGTGCTTTCTGAGAGAAACTAGAGAGAGTACAGAGAACAAGAAAAACACAAAGGAACAAAGAAGGGTATTTAAACAGCCCTAAAGCCCATACATGGTACATGTTGATGCTCTGTTTCCCTCCCTACAAAAGGAGAGTAGATGGAAATGAACTTCAGTTGTTGCATGTTTAATCTTCCTGAGAGAAGTTTACTGACTCTTCAATAGGCCAGCAAGAGCAAGAGGCTGTGCTGTGGGATCAGCCTGGGTTGGGAGGAAGATAGAAATAACAGCCCTCTCACCATGCTCTCCTCTGCTCCCAGGCCTCTGTGATCGATGGCACCAGCCCTTTCGCCTTTGACTACGACCTCACCCGCATTGTTGCCGCTTACCAGGAAAGGAACGGTGAGTCACTGGTGCAGTCCACTCATCTCCGGCTCGAGACTTTCCTGGCCAGTGGGGGCAGTGGAGAGAAACAGAGTTCAAATCCTGGGCCAGGTGAAAATGTCCAACCAGTCAACCTAGGACAAAGGTGGCCTTTCCAGGATCTGGCTCTTCTTCCCCTATGACTATACTGGGAAGAGCTATTAAGTGGTGATGATTCATGACTATGGTTATTGCATGACTGGCTTGGGTAGTTGCTTGCTACATCATACCTGTCAAAGAAGGCAAAGGCAAGTTGCTGTCCCTAATTTGCAGAGAGAAAAAGAGAACGTGGCTTGATTCACTCCACATTAGCAGTCCAAGAGGAGAATGGAAGTGACAGACTTGTGTTTATCAGACACAGATAAACATTCTTCTGGTACTCTCTACTTTCAGCCAAGATTCCATCTGATGTTGGCTGTGATGTCCCTAATACCAAAGCCTCTTCTAAACCCATCTTGTATTTCTGGTGGTTCTTTATCAGAAAGTCAATGTACTGTTCCAGTCATTTTTGGCTAATCTTCAGCAGGATTTTGCTTGCGTGTGATAGTAGTTATATTATTCAGTAATTTGCATAATCTGTCTGATCATCTTTTTTTAAAAAATGGGAATAAATATGGATCTCTTCTAGTCAGTTAACCAAGTAATTTTCCTCTAGATGTCTTGGCACAATCTGGTAAGTCCAGAGGAGGATTTGTTCATTACAGTATGTCATTTGGGATTTTAACAATTGCTAGGGCCATGTTTTTTGCCAATTCCTTCATAGTAGCCATCACCATTGCCTCTTGATCGTATGTTATTTCATGATATTCCTCTGTGTTAGCCAGTTCCTTTTGGTACAGCGACTCTGTGTACTCCCCGCATCTTCTTTTGATGCTTCCTGGATCATTCAATATTCTGCCCATATCATCCTTAAGTATTGCCACTCGAGGCTTAAATTTGTTCTTTTTTTAAAAAAATTATTATTTAGTTACTTAAGCTTAAGAAATGGCAGTTGTATCTCTGGTTAGATTTATTCTTAAATATTTCATCTTTGGGGTGACTATTTTAAATGGCATTGTTTTCTTATTTCCTTTTGAGAGTTCTCTTTGTACTGTAGAGGAATACATCTTTTTTTTTTTAATTGACCTTCTGCCCTGTCACTTTGCTAAGTTGGTCAGTTAGATCCAGTAATTGCCTTGCTGAGTCTTTGGGATTTTTATATATATATATATATATGTGTGTGTGTGTGTGTGTATGTATATGTGTATGTGTGTATATGTATATGTGTATGTGTGTATATGTATATATGTATATATACACGTATATATACACATACACGTATATATATGTATATGTGTGTGTATATATATGTATATGTATATATATGTGTGTATATATATACATATAATCTACAAATTAAGATAATTTTACTTTCTCTTTGCCAATTTGGATACCTTTTATTTCTTTTTCTTGCTTTATTGCACTGGCTGAGTCTGCCAATTAGGTATTGAGTAGGAGTGAGGATAAAGGACAGTCTTCTCTGATTCTCATTCACAAGAGGAATGCCTCCAGTTGCTTTCCATTGAGAGTCATGTTAGCTATTGGTTTTAACTATATGCTTTTAATTATGTTGCAGAAGTTTCTTTCTATTCCTATTTTGTTGAGTATTTTTATTAGGGTGTTGAATTTTTTTTAATTTTATTATTTTTCTATATACCATAAAATCAGATCTGACTGGCACAGGAGGAGATTGTGCCTCCTTCTCCAGCAGAGCATCTGGTGGATTTGAACTGCGCACCTCTGGTATTGTAGTGCAGCTTCCTACCACTAGGCCACAAGAGCTCCCTAGGGTGTTGAAATTTTTTTTAAATTATTTTTTATTTATTTTTTTTTAGGGTGTTGAATTTTGTCAAATGTATTTTCTTCATCAGTTGATATAATCCTGTGATTTTCCTCCAGTGTTTCAGGACTACACGGATTGATTTCTAGTGTTGAATCATCCATGCAGACCTGGTAGGCATCTCACTTGAACACGTTGGATGATTTTTTTTTTAATATAATGTTGTTGGATGTATTGGCTAGGATTTTATTGAGAAATTTTTGCATCCTTGTTTATAAGGGATATTCATCTATCATTTTCTTTTTTTTTTTTAAATTTATTTTACTATTTTGTATGTGTGTACCGTCAAATCAGATCTGACTGGTACAGGAGGAGGACATTGCTCCTCCTTCTCCAGCAGAGTATCATTTTCTTTTTGAATGGTATCTCTGCCGGGCTTTAGTATCAGGTTTATGCTTGCTTCGAAAAATGAATTCAGGAGTTGTTGTTCTGTACCAATGAGCCAGAACTGCCACATAGCTGACCCTCCAGCGTGTTTTCTTAGGCAGCTAATCATGTGGGAGGAGATTACTCATCCTCTTCGCACAGAGGGGCTTGTGACTCCGAGCCTTCAGAATTGCAGCACAGATTATTTCCACTAGACCACAAGAAGTCCTTTAAATTGAGGAGCACTCCATCTTTTTCTATCTTCTGAAATAGTATGAGTGGGATTAGTGTCAGGTTTTCTAGAAATGTTTGGTGGAATTCACTAGGCAAGCCATTTGGGCCAGGACTTTTGTGGTTGGGAGTGCTTTTATGACCTGTTCAGTTTCTTCTTTTGTGGTGAATTTGTTCCAGTTTTCCAAGTTGATCTATGTTAGTTTAGATAAGCAGTGAGTTTCTTAAAATTTGTCCATTTCCTCTAGGTTATCCGAATTGTTGGAGTATAATTCTTCATGGGTGCTCTGGTGGCCTAGTGAGTAAGGAGTTGCATTGCCAATCCAAAGGCAGGTGATTTAAATCAATCAGGAGAATAATGGACAGTCTCCTTCATGTAATTTACAGCTTTTGAAAACCCACTAGATGTCAGCTGTAATTTGGTTTTGACCTCAGGGCACATAACAGCAGTAGTTTATCATAATATTCTGTTATTCTCTTTTTTATTTTAATTGATTCTGTTGTGATGTCATCCATTTCATTCCTGATTTGTATTATTTGCACTTTCTTTCCTTTGATTGAGTGCCAGGGGCTTGTAGATTTTATTCATTCTTTCAAGATCCAACTTCCAGTCTTAACAGTTCTATTGCTTTGCCCTTTTATTTTTTCATTTAATTCTGCTCTTATTTTTATTATCTCCTTTCTTCTGGAGACTTGAGGCTTTGCTTGCTGTTCTTTTTTTAACTGTTGGAGATGTTTTTTTAAGGTGTTAATTGGTCCTTACTTTTTTGATGTGTTTATTATAATTAACCTCAGAGCAATGCTTTTTATAAATTGACCTCAGAGTCTGTTTTTTAATAAGTTAAATCTGTAAGTGAATCTGAATAAGTACTGAATGCTTATTTAGCATCAGTTAGTCAAGTATTTGTTATATTATCTTATGTATTTTACCTTGCAGTGCATCCAAAACACTTAAGAGATACTTTCTTTCTTTTTTTTTTTTTAAGAAATACTTTCAAATGCACTAAATCATTTTAAGCATAATAATAATAGTCAACAGCAGGTATAAAATGTTTCAGGATCCAGTCTTCAAAGATGGTAATTGTGACTTGTCTTTGTACTTGCCTTCCAAATAGTGAGAAGGCATGCCTTATAGAAGGCCCTCAGATTTGGGGAGCAATGCACCAGCAAAGGCTTAACTTAAAATCCCTGAGTACATTACCCTCGAGTATAATACTGGCTTCTCCTTTGGTTCCTTGTCCATTGGTGCATTTTTTTTTCTCTTTAAAAGTATAGATTGTATCCACCAGATGCTCTGCTGGAGAAGGAGGGATAATCTCCTCCTGTACCAGTCAGATCTGATTTGATGGTACACACACAAAAAATAATAAAATTTTTAAAAAAGTGTAGCTCCTAAAGGTATTAAGCAATAACAATTAATTATATAGAATACTACATATGGATGATTATATAAAACAGTTGTACATGAATAAAACACAATATAGCTGAATGATTTTTTGTAAACCAATTAAAAAAAAAATAGATCCTTTCAGGCAAGCTCTGGTGGCCTAGTGGCAAGAAGCTGCAACTGCAATTTCAGAGATGCATGGTTCGACCACCAGATGCTCTGCTGGAGAAGGAGGAACAATTTCCTCCTGTACCAGTCAGATCTGATTTGACGGTACACACAAAAAATAATGAAATAAAATAAATTTTAAAAAATAGATGCTTTCAAATATTTTCCCCAAAATACATGTTAAATATTTGGCCTGGCAAATAACCTCCCTTCTCAATAATTTTTGCAACCATTTAAGTAAAATCCCTGAAGGCGTTTACATCAGCACTCATTGCTTCATCTTGCACTTAAATATTGTATCAACCTGCCTCTACTTTAAAAGTCACCAAACCAACAAATTCTTCACCACAGTTACCTCCACTTAAGTCATTGAAAAGACTTCCAGCCTTTTCTTGGATTAAAGTCAAGTCAGTGGACATATTATGCTGATTTTGAATGTCTAAGCAAAATTTTCAGTAGCTTTCCCATTTCAGTAACTAAACCGCTACATCACTTAGTCATAATGACCATTTTATCTCTTAAAATTTTTCCAATCATTAACCAACTGTAGCCTGACTGATGGTGGTTCAGCTCTTTCTAATCTCATTGTTATTTGTACCTCAATTTCTTTTTTTTTTTTTTTTTAATTTTAATGGAAGTTTAGAGACTTTGGATTTCCATTCATTGTTGTTGCACTTTTCTCCCTGGCCAACCTCTCCCCGCCAATTCACTCTTCTCTTTGAAAAGTAAAAGAAAAATTCTTTCATTGTTGTATGATCCCTCCCCCAAAGTCCACTCCACTGTGCAACCTTCGTTTTGGACTCCTGACACGACAATAATACCTAATCATATATCCTTTTAAACAGTTCTCTCCCTCCTCTGTTTCAATGAAGTATACATTATTTATCCCCTCTTTTCTTGGGCTCCCCAACCCTGATGTCAGTCCTGTTTTACTACAGTGGCACTATGTAGTATTTGTCCTTTTGTGACTGAGATATTTCATTCAGCATGAGGTCCTCCAGGGTCACCCATTTTGTATAATAGTTTATGAATTCCTTGTTTTTCAATGCAGCGTAGTATTCCATTGTGTGACTATACCACAGCTTCTCTATCCATTCATTTGTCGATGGACACTTAGGTTGTTTCCATCTCTTTGCTATTGTGAACAAAGCCGCGATAAACATGGGTGTGCATATATCTGCTTGTTAGTCAGTTATGGTCTCTTTGGGGTATATTCCCAGTAGTGGAATTGCTGGGTCAAATGGTATTTCTATTTGCAACTTTTTGAGAAAGTTTCATACCGCCTTCCACAGTGGTTGTACCATTTTACACTCCCACCAACAGTGAATAAGGGTTCCAGTCTCTCCACAACCTCGCCAGCATTTGTTGCTAGCTGTTCTGTTAAATTTTGCTATTACTGGGGTGAGATGATATCTCATAGTTGTTTTTTGTACTTCATTTTCAATCATGATAATTTCCTTGGTTCATCACATTTAGACTATGAAGTCATAAGGGTAAATAAGAGGACAATTATTTTTTTTTAAATTTCTTTTCATACATTTATTTTTTTTTTCTGTAATTATATTTTATTAATTTTCATAAACATTTACAGAGATTTTGGGCTTCCACTCATTCATTGTTGCACTATTCTCTCTACCCTCCTCCCAGTTTGTATAAGAGGACAATTAAACCCACTATAAACTTAATGCACTTGACACTGTGTGAGTGGCAGTGATGTAGATCTAAAGAAGCAGGTGGTATTCTTCCTCAGCCAACAAACTGCGGGTATTTCTTATCTGGACCCATTGTGTTTAACTGAAGGCAATCCATTATGAGTACAGCTTGTCAGACATTGTTAGCCCAGAAACTTGCTGTACCACATTTTCTGTGTCCGTTCACCTGCTGCTGAGTGTTTGGATTGTTTCCACCTTCGGACTGTTTATTGTGAGGAGTGCTGCGGTGAACCCTGCGGTGCAGGCGTCTGTTTGCATTGCCGCTTTCGTGAGTCTATACATAAGTGTGTGGTTTGTAGTTCAAACGGTGGCTTTAGTTTAACTTTCTGAGAAACTGCCAAACTGTTGTACCGTTTTTCATGCCTGCCAGCTATAGATGTGGTTTCCAGTTTCTCTGCATGCTCATTAGCATTTGTTACTTTCCTTTTTTTCATCTTAACAATCCTAATGGGAATAAAATGATCCTCTTATTGTGATTTTGAGTCTCCTGGTAGCCAATGACATTCGGCGTCTTCCCAATACATGCACTTTTCTCTTTGAGGTGTTTTTTGGGATAAATTCTGAAGGACAAAACTTTCCCCATGGTCAGGAGAATGCTGTTATACCACTTGTTATCCACTAAATTAAGTCTCCCCAAAAATATGTATTGTAAAGCCTAACCTCTGTATCTGTGGTTACAGTCCCGTTTGGGCATGAGTTGTCTTGAGTACACTAACAAACAGGAGGCGTGTAGCTTGTGTCTTGAGTCAATTTCTTTTGAGATATAAAAGAGCTCAATCAAGGGAAAGCAGAGATATGGGGGAAAGTGTGCCAAGCCACATGAAAATGACAGGGGAGCAGAAGCTCAAAAGAGACAAAGAACTTCCTCCAGAGCCAATGGAAAGAGAAAATTGTCCTCCGCAGCCAACTCACTGAATTCAAAACTGGAAAAATTCACGTCCGTTTGTTAGAGCCACCCACTCGTATTTCTGTTAGAGCAGCACTAGATACCACGCAATATATTTTACCAAAGGAACCATCCTTAGATGAATGATTCACGATTTGTTTGCAGTTACCACTATCTTCATGGACCCTAATCCCATCTGGCTGGTTGGAAGGGCTGCTGAAGCTCCGTTTGTGATCAATGCGGTGATCCGGTACCCCGTGGAAGTCATTTCATATCCTTTCTGTGAGTCAAAAGTAACTCCTCCTCCTCCATCCAAAAGGATTCCGCTGTTGTTCCACTTTAGAACAGATGTGGTAAGCCTTAGGTAAGGAAAGGCTAGCGTTAGCTTGTCAGCTGCCCTGCGTACAATGGAGTGGAGGGCCGCCCAGTCCATGCAAGTCCCCGTCACCTGTGGGGACCGTACTCTTGTGCATAGGCTCGTTAGCTGGTTTCGGAGGTAGAGCACCAGCCCTTTCTTCCTAATCTGTCGAGGTCTGGAAGCTTTGCTGAAACCTGTTTGGCATTATGAACACAAACAAGGAAGCAGAGCCCTTGACCAAGAATCCTGTCTGCTCTCGCGTGTGGGAGGCGAGGCTTTGACCACTGAACTTCCATTGCCCCATGCAAATGCGTTCGTGTCTGCTCTTCATATGGAGGGAATCTTTCATTTCCTGTTCATATCCTCTCTGAGCAATTCTTTGAGGTCAGAGTCATCCATATGTATGTCTTAATCACCTTTTGTTGTCCTTTTTATCTTAAGGGTTTTTAAAACATTTTGGCCATTTCCTGCCCGAGTGGGAAGCCTCAGTTGAGCAATGATTTACAAAATATCCACTTGTGACGCCTTAACTCTCCCCGCACCTATCAGCCAGGATTCTGGGAGATGATCAAGTTTGCCTGGGTCCAGTATGTCAGCATCCTGCTCATCTTCCTCTGGGTGTTTCAAAGAATCAAAATATTCGTGTTTCAGAATCAGGTGGTGAGCACCATCCCAGCAACAGCCGTGCCCTCGAGAGAGCTGTGTAAGGAGCACTTGTCATGAGGAGAGGGCTTTCAGCCTCTCTGCCGGATGAGGAGAGGGCTTTCCACCTCCCTGTTGGCTTCTGAGAACTGTCAGGTTAGGACGGACGTTTGTAAAAAGAGCCCATGGACATGAGCTAGCCTGTGTTCTCTCCCTCAGAGATGAAGAACAGAGTTCTTTACAGTTTTCCTTTATACAAATTCCCTTTCTTCCAAGCATCTGACTACAGCTTCATCAGGGACTAATGATGGAAAGGTGTGAGAGCTGACTGTTTGTTTGGTTTTCGTTTTTTTGCCTTAGACCTGAATTTCAGAAGAAAATGAGTGCATTCCCGTGTGTTGGGATAACTCCCAAATCTGGTTACGCAAAGAGTCATTTCTCTCTTGAGCTCTTTGTAGGGCTTGCCGTGCTTGTAGCTCCCCCATTGTTTTGTTTTTTTTTTAAATTTTATTATTTTGTGTGCGTGTACCGTCAAATCAGATCTGACTGGTACAGGAGGATATTGCGCCTCCTTCTCTGGCAGAGCATCTGGTGGATTCGAACCGTGTTCCTCTGGGATTGCAGTGTGTAGCTCCCCCATTGTAAGCTGCTATACAAGGAGCCTGGGCACAATGTGATTTGCTAACTGAAAGCTCATCCCTTACTCTGGGAAAGAAAGATGGGGAGTCCTGAGCACAGTGCTTCTCTGTCCTGTAGAGTTGCCCTTGACTCAACAGTAGCTGGTTTCTGTGATCTTTAGGGTTCTACACCCCATTATTTGCATACGATAAATATACAAATCACTAGTACTTTCCACTCTGGGTATCAGTGTATCTCCCACAGAACTGAGAGGCCTTTCACTGGGGGCCGCCGGGGGTGTGCATGCAAGAACACGTTGTGCATGTGCGTGAGGGTGGGGACTTAGAACAGTAGGCCCGTCCACCTGCACCCAGGGTAACACAGTCGGTCATCTGTCATCAGTCAGCTGAACAGCCCTTTATCCCTGCCCTCTGTGGCTGGCTCCTGGCCCTGCCTTTTGCCCTCTGGCTGTGCCCCCAGAGCAGGCTGCAGTCAGAGTGCCATTTCATTCACAACCCTCAGCCAGCCCCAGTGGGGGAAGCAGCGGCTGTAACAACAGGGCTTTTCTCTCTGGCGCTCACCCAACAGCCTAGACACTCGCCTCTCCTCTTCCTCACCGCCCTCCCCTTCCTGAGGGGATGGGGGATGACAGAGTTGCCGTTGTTGGTATTGGCCCCCACAGCCCACCTGACAGCCACAGTGTCTTTGGAGAGCTGGGGAGAGCCCAGTTTCCTGCTTTCCTGTGACTGAGGAACCCATGGAGAACCCATGCCCAGGCTTGGCTACCTCTAGAGGACACACGCGGAGCAGGGAAAGGGTGAGGAGCAGGCAGGCCGTCCCTCTAGCCTGGCCAGCAGAATGGCATGCTGTGTCCTCTGGACATGAGGACTGGCTCTGTGAGTGTCTAGGGGAGAGGACACGCTCAGAATGGTGCTCTGTTACACACTGAAGACAGTATTCAACCTGATGTCTTCCCTGGACACACGCTGCCTCCTCAGAGGATGCTGGGGAGGCCTTCTTAGCCCCAGTGGGTCATTACCATTCGAAGGCCACATCCAACCTCAAACATACTTCTCAGGTTGTGCCTCAGTTTACCTGGGAGATGCAGTTCTTATTTCCAAAGCATTTTCTCCATCCCACATCACCCCTCCCCTTAGGAAAAGTTTGGGGAACAAGCTATTTGGAATTACTCAAGCACAAAACCCCCTAGCACTGGCCTCTCTACTCTTCTCTCACATTCAGGACCAAAACAATGGTCTTAAGGCTTAAGCCATGAAAAGTGGTTTCTAGTTTAAATCAGACATTAAAGATGTGTATGTAAACATCGCTTTGCATTCCATTGTATTTTTTTATGTGACTTTGTGTGAGGAAAACACGATGTTTTGTAACTCTCTAATTAAATATGTTCCAAAGGGAAGGCTGCAGGCGGATTTGTGTAGGGCGGGGACTGAGGGGGGGAGGCCGGAGGTGGGGTGGCACTCACTTCTCCCCATTACTCACCAGTGGCTCTCTGTGCCAGGACACTGCCCTCAGACCTTGGCACTTCTGTTGGGTCTTTGGAAATCTCCTCTGGTCCAGCCTCAAGAGAATGTGAGTTTTCAACAGAATCCACACAGCATGTGGAAGCCGCAGGCTGGAAAATTACAGCCGTGTCTGGTGGCACCAAAATCCTCAGCGACCCGCTGTTGGTACCTTCTGAACCTGAATCACTAGATGTAGTTGCAAGGGGAAAGGTGCAAACTACACAGCTGGAAAAAAGTGCAGCCAGGGTGCCCCACGGAGGCAAGGAGGTTGCAGCTTCGTCTCTCACACTTGGGACGTGTTGCTAGGTTGCTAGTGGAGGCTCGTCCTTGGAAAGGGACACCATACTGGGGGCGGCAGAGGATCAGTGTAAGAAAGGTAGACTCTCAGTGAGATGGAGTGACACAGTGACTGCAGCAGTGGGCTCAGGTGTTCAGATGATGAGGACCGGATAGGACAGGGTTCAAGTCTGTGGTTCATAGGGTCACGATGAGTCGATGAGGGGCCCTGACACCGCCACCACCACAGCCAGAACTCTAGAAGTTGGGGTTTAAGGTGGTCTGTTAATGTTTCAGTGGGGGAAGACCTCATTGGACCAAATTAAAGGCCCACTTCCTGTTTGATTCAGAGGAACACCCCAGAAGATCAGGTTTGTTGTTGTGAGGTGCCATCAAGTTGACTATAACTCACGGTGACCCTCTAAACATCAGATCTTACCCCATCCTCACAAAGGCTCACGTTCTGTGTGACCTTCACTGTGTCAGTCGGTCTTGTTAAGGGTCTTTCTCTGACCTTTCTCCACTCTTCTCAGCATGAGGTCTTTTTTCAAGGCTCATCCCCTCCAGACAACATATGAAAAGTATGTGAGAGAAAGTCCCCCACCCTTGCCTCTGAGGAGCACCCTGGTTATAGTTCTCCAGGACAGATTTGTTTGGTCTTTTGGCAGTCCACGGGGCATTCAGTACTCTTACACAACGCCACGATTCAAAGGCATGAGTTGTTCTTCGGTCGCCTTTATTCATTGTCTAGCTTTCAGCTGCATAGGAAGTTACTGACAAAACTGTGGATCGGATCAAGTTTGCAGAGGTCTCTAAAAGCCCACATAGGTCCCTTCATCCAAGGTTAATTAACATCATTAAACTCCTTTCTCTTCATAGTCATACTTTTTTAATCTGAGAGGGTTTGTACCTTTCTGGCCTGGATTTCAAAATGCACTTTGGAAAAAATGAGTACATTGTGGAAATGCTGTTTGCAGAAGCTGTAGATGATTGGAGAGATGAGATGACCCATCCTTCTGCTGAGCTGCTGGTGGACCTCTGAATGGACAGTTTAGCCTCCTACAGACTGGGCCAACAGCCAAAATGTGGATGGATCATGGCCAAAATGTACTGTCTATCACCTTTGTGACACAGCCTATCTAATCTTTGCAGGTTCGTTTCTTTGCTTACATACCTGTGAACTTTGTGTGTTCACCTTGCGGCTGACTTGATTATTTCTCGGTACATTCTAGAAAGGAATTAGGAATTCAGAAGGCCTCCTCCCATCGGCGTGGTGAAGGGTCTAGATGCTCAGGCCAGATCCCTGGCGGAAAGGCTGCACAAACTCCTGTCCTGGGCAGCTGGCACCACTCAATTTAGATCCCACCATGGATAACAAGATGCTAGGATGCGCTGCCCTCTTCAAGTTGCTGGGCTCTGCCCTGTGATTTGTAGATTGAAAAACAAAACAGTCCTACCCTGTGTTTATCCAAACCTGCTTTCAAGCCTGCGCCTCATGGCCTGGGAGGGGGTCTGTCACAGGCCTCTCAGCCCCTCCTGGCTCTGGTCCAGGGGTGGCGCGGGTCCTGCCTCTTAGTCTTTGGGCTTCCGCTGGGACTCGGGAAGAGATTCGGATTCCAAGTCACTGTGTTGCGAGGATGCCACCAAGGGCGAGGAGGGGCAGAATTAAGATTCGGTTTCCTACACAAGGGCCTTTTGTGTTCCCGGGAGCTACCCTCCCAGGGAGACGGGAGAGGAGAAAACTTTTATGGTCAATTAGTGGAATGAGGAGATCCCGGGTGCGCGCTCTGACACCCCGGGCGGCGCCTCCCACTCGGCCCACCTGTGCGCTCACTTAACCCGGGTCCCTCCTGCAGCCGCCCGTCACCGGGGGCGTGGCACCAGGGTCAGGGGTGGGGAGGATAGCGGGAACCGCGCTGCAGCCTGCTCCTTCCCGCCCTCCCCTCGCCGCCTGCTTGCAGCGGGACCGCAACCACTTCTGAAAGCTGCTCATTGTATGCGCCGGGAGCTGTGCGCAGGGCAGCGCGGAAGAGCGGCCGGGCGGGGGCTGGCAGAGCGGGGCGCCAGGCTCACTGCGTCTGAGCCGCGGGTGGTGCGCGGGGCAACGCGGAGGGGCGGCCGGGGGCAGGCAGAGCGGGGCGCGGGGCTCCTTGCGCATGAGCCCAGGGGCAGCCAGGCTCATTGCTCACGCACCACAGAGCCTGAGCGTATCCCCAAAACCGTACCTACCCCACCACCTTAGATTCTCCACCTTCGTTTTTTAAAATTGTTATTTTCATGTCAGAGAGTTTTACTGTTTCCAGATTCCGCCTGCTTTGGGTCTCCAGGTGATTGCAATGTTTTGGTACTTTCCCTGCCCCCAGCTAATGACCCTGGGAGCCCCTTTCTCCTTGACAGAGAGGGTCCCTTAAAAGGCTCTGAACATTAAGGAGCAGATCCGCGCCCGCGGACTCTACCCTCTGCCGAAGTCTCAGGACTCTTGCCGAAAGCGCTGAAGAGCTCGGGAGAGACGGCGGCGGCGCGCACTCAGGAGAGCTGAGCCTTGGGAAGCGGTGCCTGGAACGCCCCCCCCCCCCGCCCCCGCGGAGCGCCCGGAGAACGACCGCTGGCTTTGGGGTAAGAGACGAATATACCATAGACTGCCAGGAGAACAAACAGGTTCGT